GCCACTGCAGTGACATTTATAATTATAATAAGTATGAAAAGAATGCAAACACATTGACTCTTGTGATTCCAGTCCTCATCAGTTAGTTGCTTAAGAGCGACACCTGGACGCATAGCCCAGAAGAGCACAGATCATAAATGTGTCGAGAATGACATCTTGGTTGATCGGTTATGGATTGTTATGTTATGTTATGTTATGAGCATTGGAAGCTGCACAGGTGTGATCTGCGCAGGGAAATCTGTAATTTGTAGATTCCTAAGGGACTGATAACAACTGACTTTTTTTTTTGCTGGTATCCCTACTTCCAGAATGGTCATTTTGTGCATTGTAAATATTTTTTACCAGCAATCTAAAAGCCAGCTGTAATTATGATCAACACCTATTCAACTGCAGCAAAGCTAGGAATGCACCTATTATGCATCAGAGCATAACTCTGTTCACTTCAGTTCAGTAGTCTAAATTCCTGTCTCGTTTCAAACTCTTCTCGCTTGGATGGGACTGCAATGTCATTAAAGAACACCTATTTTCAGTTCTACTTGCTAGCATTATGGAAGGACAATGAAAGGGAGGATTGTGATGGTATATTGAAGTTTGCGAAGGCCATTCTCTGACTAGGTAAAGAACATTTAGAAGGGAGAGCATATCTGGGCAAGTTATGTGCAACAATGAAATTATACAGTGAGTCTGTTAGAAAATTGACTAATAGTTGGGAGCAACATGGAGAACCCAGGAGGGCATTCTTAGCTTAACATTCCAAATCCAAAGCTTCTCAAAGAAGCTGATCCATCATCCAAAAGCAAGGAAAAGAAGGCTGTGGTAGGATCAAGAATGAAAGGATACCCTGTTTGCATGGACTTTGCTTGCCACAAAAGGCTGGTCAGATTGTGCATGCAGGTTAGTGCAAAGCAGCCACCAGTTCTACAAAAGAAACAGTTCTCATCAGCAGGGAGTTCTTCAACCAGTATCCAAAGTAGCATTTGTTTTCGGAGATAGAAAAGTTTCTTTGTCATTAAGGATTCTAGCTAAAAAGCTTCTCTGGACACAAAAACCATTCCTTTACACAATGCACTAACCTGCATATACTGACTTTACCAAAGTGAAAGAAAATGTTGGAGCAAAAATGAAGTTGTGATCCTGAATCCATGAAAATTGCATTAGCATCTATTTTGTGACAATCTGTGTTATGTTTTAAATGTAAAATATTTTGTTGCACTGAAGGCTATCCATAGATGTAATTTGAGTTTCTCATAGCTTTGTACTGTGTTGTATGTTTTAGCATGCAAGTTATTGGGGCATCTCAAAAGTTGTTTTTTGCAGGTCTGTAATTTCATAAATTTCTCCTTCTTGAAATTCTATTTTAGTACCAGTAGGGTACTTTGCTGAATAAACTAACCCAGGACCCAAACAGTGATGCTAAATTCATAGCTGGGATTTTGTAATGCCTGATGCTGTGTTTTTGGCATTAGTGCGTCATTATGTTGTATAATTGTTCACACTTCTGTTGGCAGAAAGTTAGCATCTCCGTTCACTCAGGTCCAAGTAATTTACGCTGACGTTTTCTGGAGGTCCTGATCCTGTAAGCAGTTTAAATCCAGCATTTCACATGCTGTTATGTAATGTGTTCAAAAACATTCATGAGCAGTTAGCTTATTGAAGTGAAACAACTAGTCAAAATCGTTTTTTTAAAGAAGCTACTAATTACAGTAAACTCTTGTCAGCAGAAGGTGCATGGACAAGAATTTTTATCACATAGACGGCATTTTAAGAACATACTAAACAGTGCTCCCTTTATTAAATACTTTGTGTTTATGTATTAGTCAATTTTCTAAGAGTATCTTTTTTAGCAAAAGTAGGGGTTTAGCTTTTATATGAGAAACACTTTTAGAGAGGTTGAAGTCCACCCTCTCCCATAATCTCACTATTACAACTGCCACATCAGAGACTTCCAGCCAATTCCGTAACACTAACAGAGCCAAATATATTTTTATTTATAAGTAATGGATAACTTTTATGCCAACATACGTTAACTCTTCACACTGAATTCTGAATTAGTTCATCAAAAGCCAAGGTCATATACACAGTTTCACAGTTTTTTACACTACAGAAAATAATACTACTTAGCAAAACATCATGCGCTGAAGCTGTATTAAAATCCAAAATATCACCATCTTTCTAATGTTCAGAACCAAATAACTCATTCCAGTCTGCTGCTTGAATTATATCATAATATGAATCATCAACGTCATCTTAATTAGCATTCACAACATCATCTTCTGTGCCATTGAGTATATCGGATAAACTATGTTTGTTGATTGATTTGACAACAATCTCCATTCTGATTACATGATAACCTGAAAACTTGCTCATATTGGAGCCCATATGTTTTACCGTACAATTTTTTAGTTGTCTTGAATATCTGTTTTGTGTTAGAGTGAGCTGTGATGTTGAACCTTTGAGCTGTGTGTGAATTGTAGAGCATGGTTTTAATTTAAGGATTATATGAAAAGAGAGTAAATGATTGGTTACATCACTGTCCGTAGTTACCTTAACACACACTTTAAAAAGTGTTTCTTTCTTTAGAATTTTAAAACGTAACAATGGAGTATCATTATGAATTATATTTTCTGCTTTATTGAACATTTCACTTTTTATGACTATTATTCACAAAGGGGAAGAAAAATGCTTTACAGTATATGAAATCTGTAACATGAGCATGAAAACCTATGCAGTAATACAACAAAAATATGGCCAAATGGGTTGGGTAGTGCAATGATTATTTGCTGTTTGAACGTTCTCCTTAGTCACCAGAGAGAGCAATAAAACACTTCAAGACTGTGCTGTTTTGACATTGCCATCAGAATTTGATACAAAATCAACTGATGACCTATTTTAAAAGAAAATCTTTATTTATGTTTGTAATTTAAGAACACCTATTTTAAGAAAATGGCTGGATTATAAATATACCCTCTTGAAGGTGACTTCTGTTAAGTGGAATAGATTAGAATAAACTTAAAACTTGCCTTAATGCTGAAAATATTAAACCAATTCCAAATACCCTTTTTGCTACAGTATTTCAGGAATTAGTAATGCAAAGTGATAAAATATTTTGACAATTATATTGTTATAAATAAAAGATGGATAATGTATTTTTGTAAAATCTTGAGTGAAATCCGAGAAATAAACGTTTCTTTCCTGCTGCAATTTGGATACAAAGAAAGTGTTGTTAATGTTTGTGCTACCACATAGGAACCGTTAGTTTTTCGACCATTCAGCCCTCCACTCAAACCTCCCTCACCCACTTCCTTCTTTCTTGTAAATTCATTGATTTATTTGGATACGGTTCCTCTCCAGTACTTCACTCGTATTACCATTTTTGAGAGACCAGACAGCCACTACCAGTTTGAGATATGTTCTTTGTTCCTGACTTTTCGATAATGAAATTCTGCCCTTTTAATTCATCTTCTGGCCTCTGTTGCTTCTCGTCTGTTTCTGCCTCCAACTTGGCTGAAGCCAGGAAGAGAGAGTATCTCAGCCTGAAAAATCTAGTCAGTCACAAGGCTAGGACCAGGACCCAAAGGAACCATCACTCAGCCTTGTGCCAGCCTAGAGCCCACTGCTGTTGCTCATCCCACCAGAGGGGTGCACTCTGCCTCTGGCCACTTGGTGGTGTTCAAGAAACATGCGGGCAAGGTGGGAGGTGTGCAGAGCCCAACTTCCTGCAGGATATCGCAGGCCTGATACATTAGTGGGGAGGTTGATGAGAATGTGGAACAATGAAGCCCAATTTTCCAGAAGGGTTTGGGGCAAGAGAAGTAGGGTGGTCGGAAATAGGGTTTGCTATGTAAGAAAGGGGAGTTGTGAAGAGGGCTAGCTCAGTTGTGTGAGGGGAGGCGTGGGAAGAGGGACTATTGAGTGAGTAAGTTTGGGGAATATGTTTGGAAGAGCTGCTGTTGTTTTAACTGAAACAGGCGGAGGAATATTGGGAGGGGGGCTTGATTGATTCTTCAGTCGCCAGGGAAGATGGAGAAGTTGACTGAAACTTCTGTATGAAGCAATAACTTTTTTTTGTAAGATATTTTAAAACAGGTTTTCATATTTATATTTTACTTACGTTAGAGAATGTTACTGCTGTTGTTTTTCTTTGTTTTTCTGGTGGCAAGGGTTATGTTCATTTTCAAGAGTGTTTTCTGTATTAATTCATGGAATGTGGATGTGACTGCGTAGGTCAGCACTCGTTGCCTATCTTTTTATTGGCCTTGTGAAAATGGTGGTGGATTAAAATGTGGTCAGAAGATAGCTTGCAAAGCACTGCTGTTTTCCTTTGCAATGCTTTGTATGTATGTAATCCAGCAAGGTCATATTCTCTTGTTAGCAGGAACTTCATTCTGTATTGCTTGCACAGATGCTGAGATGCTGAAATACTGAGATGACTTTGGTGATTTGATACAAATGCACTGGTCTACAATCTTTATGGTAATAGAAAGTAAACAGAGGGAAAACTAATGTTTCAAACAACATGAAGTCTAATAATTCCATCTACTCATGTAGTGGCCTACAAGCATTTGCTTTCATGAAAGATTATGAAAAGGGTTATACAATAAACTCCCCATTCTGTCAGCATATACGGGAAATGGGAGGTGTCAGTTATATGAATCTACCAATAGCATGAGAAATACTATGAACATATGTGCAAAAGAACTTGACACACCGAGTTCAAACAGATGTTTTTGAAGAAACTTCATAAAAATGGTATTTTTGCTTTGAAATTTTTGCCAGTTGCATGAGAATTCCAGATATTTGGGTACTGGATAATTGTAATGTTGCTTCAATGAAATTTAGCAATTCACAATTTAATGTATGCATTAAATACCATATTTGGGAATATTTCAAATGCAAGCAGGTATTAATGGAATATATGAAACGTTGAAATTCACATTAATAGAATATAATTGTCATTTTTAGTTCACTAAAAATGAGTGAAATTACTTATTCTTTTACAGCTCAGAAGCAATCTTCAAAATTTAAATTTGCAAATAAGTCATGATGCAACTCAGTAAGTATTTCACCAACTTTGTTTATAAGAGGAACAGCATTGTAGTTATGAATTAAGAGGTCTTGTGATTGGTTAAAATTAAGTTGGAAATTGAGGCTGATGTCATAGTATATTAAATTACATTGCAACCTTTGCAAGCATTACAGAAGTTAGTACTTTTAATCAAAGGTTAGTAGGAATTGTTTTCCATCCTATTTTAGAAATATGCGTTAGTGTTTAATTTGAAGAAAGATAAAACTACCCATTCATTTTGCTGAGCATATCAGTGATTTGCAACAGTACTGGGCAAAGAAGGAAAATTCAGAATCAGCTCCCTAATTTGTTAACAAATGACTAATAATGTAGTAATATATACAATTTTCGGTTTACCCTTTTGTTTATATAATAAATATCTCAATTCCTGGTGTCACACTTTTTGGCTTTCATTCCAAGGACTTTTACCTAGTTAATTCTATTAGATTTATGTACATAATGCTGTTAGCCTTTTAGAGTTATCCTAACTTATTTTAAACAAAATGCTGAATGGTTCCACCAATTCAGTGCTTTAGTTGGTGTAGCTACTTTTAAACTAATCCACAAACATACTCAATGTGATTTGATAAGCAACAAAAAGTTATTGAAGACCTTCAATAAGTAATAACTGTTATATAGTACCTTTAATGTTGTGCATTGGAAAGTTTCACATCATGGGAACATTATAAAACTAAGTATAGTATCGAATCATGTAGGTCATATGGCCAAAGAGTGTGAAAGTGAATATTTGAGATTTTTTTAAAGGAATGAATACATTAAACACTTTTAATATTTTGTCTAATTCTGCCTAATGTTAGTCAAAGTAAAAGTGATTTCCATAAAAAAGTATTCTGTCATTATCACAAATTTTGAGAAAATCTTTACCTCCTGAACAAACGTCAGCTGAAAAAGGTTAATAAAGCTTCACTACTTGCTTGTGTATGATAGAACAGTGCAGTACATAAATGGCATTACAATGAATGGAGTTCTTCCTTGTTTCTAGTCAAGTGTTAGATAATTTTGGCTAAAAGAGAATTGTGGCAAAATAATGATTATGCTCAGCAAAAGCAATCTCTTGTGCAGATTCTATAAGCATATAAACCTGTTGTTAAGGCTCCAGGACAGTATGGTTAGTGAAAGAAGGAGATGCTTGCAGAAATCTCTTCATTCAGATTCTGGAAGCATCTCCTCCTTTCACTAATCGTACTGTCCTGGAGCCTTAACAGCAGAATTGTATCATTTTCACAATCTGTGTTCAATGACTGTGTAGCTTAATGTTCTCATACGTGTTGAATTTTAAACAGTCACCTTTAAAAATATAGTGTCAGCACAAGGTTAATCTTGAATACCTGGTCTTATTTATTACAAGTGTTATTCATCTGTCAGATGATAGAGGTAACGAATGGGAAACCCAAAACATATTCTCTTTCTTCATGTCGTTCTGTAGTCAGTGCCTCTGCTTTGGCTACCCTTTCGATGCTCAGTTAAACAAATGAAGCAGTGATTTCACATCCTGTTTTTACCTTAAATTTGACTTGTATTCTCAAACTGGTGCGGAAAAAATGATCTTCTGGCAGAAGAAGAAAACAGCCTTTAATTGACTACAAGTTTGCTAGTCACAATGTATGCTGTTGTAGAACTGGAAAATGCACTGTAGTTTGTTTTTTTTTCCTAATCAAACTTCTCAGTGATGTTCATAGACATGCTGAGCCTCCCACTTCTCATTAGTTCCTATCATGATCTTTGCATTTACTGCCAGGTTTGCAGTCTGCATTTCATTGTGCAGTTTATTATTGGTGTGAACCAGTTTTATGTTGAGATCTGAACTGATCCTCATATGAAGCAGAGCAAAACTACATCCTCCAAGTTGTGTCGTATCCAACCAATGTTAGTTGTGGCTCAGCAACTGAGTTCAAGCTACATTTGTTACATAATTGCTGTATTGATACAAAACCACTTCAAGTTAATATTAGTACTTTATTGATGTTACAGCACCAATTTTATTTTAATGCAAAGTAGATTCTGCTCTGCATCCAAAGGGAATCAGTGAGGAACCACCTTTTCTGTCTCCTGTTCAAGAAAGTCTGAAATGGAACTTCATAGTAGTATCATACTGAGTCTGAAAAATGTTCATGGATTCTCCTGGGCTTCCTGGACACTTTAGCAAGACTTACTTAAATGTGAGAAAGTTTGACAATTATATAAGGTCAAACTAGCTCCTGGCCTTAAATCAGAATTGTAGACAGACAGTACAAATAAGATACTGCAGGCTATATATAGAAATTAATAACTACAGGGGTGAGTAGATTAGGTGTGTTACAGGGGTAAGGGGATGGGTCTTCGCAGGGTCATTGTGGACTTGCTGGGCCGAAGGGACTGTTTCCACACTGTAGGGATTCTATAATTCTATGATTTTGAGATTAATAATGAGAACGTGCAACCTTATTGAAATTGCTCCACTGGTGGAAGGGAAGCAATATCACAAAGTTCAGTATAGAAAGATGCAAAGTTAGGATTTCTAGAGAAAAAGTTAGACTAAAATTTAACAATCAAAATAGGTTCGTGATCTACTGTGTAGATACACTTGCAACAGGAAGATCACATTAAACATCTTTGCTAATGTGGCATGGCTCAGTTTGTTCTATAGAACAGTACAGTACAGGCCCTTCGGCCCACAATGTTGTGCCAACCTATTATCCTACTCTAAGGTCAAACTAACCTGCATACCCTTCATTTTATTATCATCCATGTGCCTATCCAAGAGTCGCTTAAACGTCTCTAATGTATCTGACTCTGCTTCCACCGGTGGCAGTGCATTCCACACACCCACCACTCTGTGTAAAGAACCTACCTCTGACTTCTCCCCTATACCTTCCTTCAATCACCTTAAAATTATGCCTGCTTGTGATAGCCATTTCCACCCTGGGTAAAAGTCTCTGGCTATCCACTCTATCAATGCCTCTCATCATCTTGTACACCTCTATCAAGTCACCTCTCATCCTACTTCGCGCAAATGAGAAAAGCCCTAGCGCTATCAACCTTTCCTCAAGACCTGCTCTCCAGTCCAGGCAGCATCCTGGTAAATCTCCTCTGCACCCTGTCTAAAGCTTCCAGATCCTTCCCGTAATGAGGCGACCAGAACGGAACACAATATTCCAAGTGTGGTCTAACCAGGGTTTTATAGAGCTGCAGCATAACCTTGCAGCTCTTAAACTCAATCCCACTGCCAATGAAAGCCAACACACGGTACGTCTTCTTAACGACCCTATCAACTTGGGTGGCAACTTTGAGGGATTTATGGACGTGGACCCCAAGACCCCTCTGTTCCTCCACACTGCCGAGAATCCTGCCATTAACCCTGTATTCTGCATTCAAATTTAACCTTCCAAAATTAATCACTTCACACTTTTCCGGGTTGAATTCCATCTGCCACTTCTTTCCAGCTCTGCATCCTTTCAGTGTCCCATTGCAACCTACAACAGCCCTCCACACTATCCACAACTCCACGTCATCTGCAAACTTACTAACCCACCCTTCCACTTCCTCATCCAAGTCATTTATAAAGATCACAAGAAGCAGAGGTCCCAGAACAGATCCCTGCGGAACACTACTGGTCACTGAGCTCCAGGCTGAATACTTCCCACCTACTACCACCCTCTGTCTTCTATTGGACAGCCAATTCTGTATCCGGACAGCCAAATTTCCCTGAATCCCATGCCTCCTTACATGCCTCCCCCAATTAAATACTTTCCCATGCCGTCTGCTCCTATCCCTCTCCATGACTATAGTAAAGATCAGGGAGTTGTGATCACCATCACCGAAATGCTCTCCCATCGAGAGATCTGACACCTGGCCTGGTTTGTTGCCAAGCACCAAATCCAGTATGGCCTCCCCTCTAGTCAGTCCATCTACATATTGAGTCAGGAATCCTTTTTGGACACACCTGACAAAATCTGTTCCCTCCAAACTATTTGCACTAAGGAGGTTCCAGTCGATATTAGGGAAGTTGAAATCACCCATGACAGCAACCCTATTACTTATGCACCTTTCCAAAATCTGCCTCCCAGTCTGTTCCTCAGTGTCTCTGTTGCTGTTGGGGGTTCTATAGGAAACTCCCAATAAAGTGACTGCTCCTTTCCTGTTTCTGACTTCCACCCATACTGTTGGGTGGTCACTAGACAAACCCTCCTCGATGACCTCCCTTTCTGCAGCTGTGTTACTATCCCTAATTAGCAATGCCACTCCCCACCTCTTTTACCTCCCTCCCTATTTCTTTCGAAACATCTAAACCCTGGAACATCCAACAACCATTCCTGCCCCTGTGATATCCAAGTCTCTGTATTGGCCACAGTATCGTACTCCAAGTACTGATTCATGCTGTAAGTTCATCACCCTTATTCATGACACTTCTTGCGTTAAAATAGACACACTTCAACCCATCACACTGACTGCAATTTTGCCCCATCCAACTGTCTTTCCTTCCTCACAGACTCACTGCCTGCTGTATCTGCCTGTACACCAGCTACCCCATCCTTTGATCAGCTCCGGTTCCCATCCCCCTGCCAAACTAGTTTAAACCCTCCCGAAGAGCTCTAGCAAACCTCCAGCTCAGGATATCGGTGCCTCTCCAGTTCAGGTGCAACCCGTGTTTCTTGTATAGGTCCCACGTTCCGCAAAAGGTATCCCAATGATCCACATATCTGAAGCCCTTCCTCCTAAACCAGCTCTGTAGCCACATGTGCAGCTGAACTTGCTCTCTATTTCTAGCCACACTAGTCTGTGGCATCAGTAGTAATCCTGAGATTACTACTCTGCTTGTCCTGGCTTTTAGCTTCCATCCTAACTCCCTACATGCACTTTTCAGGTCCTCATCCCTTTCTCTAGTTATGTCATTGGTACCGATGTATACCACAACTTCTGGCTGTCCACTCTCCCCCTTAAGAATCCTGTAGATTGGATCTGAGACATCCCTGACCCTGGCTCGCGGGAGGCAACATACTATCCGGAAGTCTTGTTCATGACCACAGAATCCCCTGTCTGTTCCCCTAACCATTGAATCTCCTATCACTATCGCTCTCCTAATCTGCCCCATTCCCTTCTGAGCCACAGAGCCAGGCTCAGTGCCAGAGACCTGGCTCCTATGGCTTTCCCCTGATAGATTGTCCCCCCTCCAACAGTTTCTAAAGCGGTATACTTGTTGAGCGGAACGGCCACTAGGGGATCCCTGCACTCTCTGCCTATTTCCTTTCCTTCTCCTAACAGTCACCCAGCTACCTTTATCCTGTAACTTGGGTGTGATAACCTCCCTATAACTCCTCTCTATCACCCCCTCAGCCTCCCGAATGATTCGGAGTTCATCCAGCCACAGCTCCAGTTTCCTAGCGCAGTCTGTGAGGAGCTGGAATTGGGTGCACTTCTCGCAGGTAAAGTCAGCAGGGACAGTAGCAGTGACCCTTACCTCCCACATCCTACAAGAGGAGCATGCAACTGCCGTAGCTTCCACCCCCTCTGCTCTAAATTGCCAAAAAAGATAAAGGAAAAATAAACTCACCTTACCGACCCTCCACACGGTTTTTTTTTTGGTTAGAAGAGGAGGATGGATGGGAGACACTGCACGTGTAGTGTTTTGGGTTTAGCCTCTGCCCAAATATCAGTTCACTTACCCAGCAGTCCCCGTGTCCGCATTTGCTCCTGCTCAGCCTTTGCTCTGCCTATTCTCGAGGCAAGTATTTTATACACAAACTTACCTTCCTGGCTGCCCCCTGACTCGCGCTCATGACTCCCACTGCTGAAATAGAATTCTGTACTGAGAAATGGAGAAGCCAAGGGTTGTGTCCCAGGAACTGCAAGCAAGGATTCTGGAGATAATCAGTGAGAAGCAGGAAGAGCAGCTTTGTCAATCTTTGTGAGAAAAACATGTATTATAATAGCCTCCAGCTCAGCACTTCTGCAACATTGGGACCTACACTTTGACATCCTCAGAGCTCCACCATTAGTTGGATTGAGTCTGGACCTTGAGAGGGAAGCAGTGAGATTGAGTGAGTCAGGGAATGGGAGGTTCAGCTAGGAGGTGGATTGGGTGCAATGAGAAAACTGCAAGTCAGAGTTCAGAGTCCCTGCAATGTAGAGGGTCAGGGATGAGGAGAAGCAGCAAGTTGGAGAGCTGCGAGAGAGGCTGCACCAAAATGACATGAAATTGGATTTCACAGGAAACAGTGTTAAAATGAACCTTACAAAACTCATTGAGATAACATCTTATTAGGTGTACTGATAACATGTCAAAGTTTAAGCAAGATATTCAAATTGTACTGACCCTGATGATTCAGAAAATGTGGTATTTTGCAACAATGTGGCAGTTTTGACATGTAATGCACAATATTTAATTGGAGCTATTGACCTGCATTGATTTAGTAAGCTTTTATTCATTTGTGTCCTCTTGAGTATCAGTGATTTTTGAGCTCTTCAAAATGGTGGCAGGACTACTTGCCATGCCCCTAATTTCTGGAAATCTCTCTCTGCACCTTTCCTCCTCTCTGTCTCAATCTCCTCCTTAAAGTTGTTCTTTAATACCTACCTCTCACCAAACTTTCAGTTATCTAACCTAATATATCCTTAGGTGGCTTGGTATCGTATTTTACTGTATAATGACCTGTGAAGTGCCTTATGGTGATTTAGTACATTAACGATCTTGTATAAATATGTGGTTGCTGTTGATTTTTTTTTAGAAATTAGGCAAAGTTTTGAAGATTAATTTGCAAGAATGTAGTAATCTGTGAAAGCTCTTATGTCATAATATGTTGTATATTCTCAAGTATTCATTTAACCTTTATTCCTCTCAATTTTTAAATCTGAAAGTGAATGTCAAGGTTGTATCCAGTTGAATGCACGTAACTGATAATATTGCGAAGAACATGTATTTGGGTGGAATCAGTCTTGGGTTTTGGGAGTTGGGTGATAATCCTGGAGTTTAGCTCTACTTTTCTGCAATGCTAAGACTCCACTACATCAAGATGACTTTTTGGTCTCATTCATGAGCGCCAAACCACTTAAGATGGTTTCTTGGGGTTTGCTAAGACTAAGGGTAAAATAAGGTCGTTTGACTCACTGTTGGAGTGTGACATTGAAATGTTGACATGGGTTTGCCACTGTCAAATATTGAAGTGCAATTATTTCATTTAAAAATATTAGTGTGGCTGATGTGCACCACCGCAAAAACAACATAACAATATGATCCAGGAAGGTAAGCTTATTATGGACAGGAAGATCATATGCATGACTTTTTGATACGTTGGATAGATGTAAGATTCTCATTGAAGTTATTATAATGTTTGAATACTTTGTGACGCAAAACCACTATTATATTAATTACCAGTTCATCTGCAAGTTCCAAAATTAAAGAAATGGTGCTCAGAAGAATTTGACCTTGTGTTTTCTTGTTTACTGCAGACGACCTGACACAGTCAAACAGAAGAATGCTTTTCCTCCAAATTTCATTCATTCTCTCGATTCAACACACATGATGCTAACAGCATTGTACTGTTATAGGTAAGCTATTGAGTCAGTAACCAGACTGCAACTTCAACAGCCCACAGCTAAAATGTTTGTACATATTGTGTTTAAGTGTAAGACTCCCATCACTTCGGATATTGTGCTTTATTTATACATACTTTCTTTAAAGTATGTTTTGAATCTCCATCTGCTCTTGTATCCTTAAGTTACTAAACTAACTTTTCAAATCTATACATTTTTCGCAAAGTTGCTGTAATTCACTCAGTTCTATTCCTGTTCTTAGCCTAGCATAAAGCCAAGTATTAAAACCGATATATTTGATACAGTTACATAATTGCTTCACCCATTCTGTGGTGCCTACAAAGACTTTTGTTTTAACTGCTTAGTTGGGAATGGTGACCATAGTGGCTACATGAGGAAACAATTAATGGGACAACCTAATTAAATATTTGAGACCATTTCTTTATTCCACATTTTAATCAACATGGTCCATCTGGAGCTTGTACAGAAGTTGACATGGAGATATTGTACAAACTAGTTTGGAGCTTGTAGTTACTCCATTCCCTGAGAAGAATTTTGTGCATGCAGGAGGTGTTAGCTTACATGAAACAATACAAAAATAACTCTCATAAACAAATTACTATAAAATCTTATTGAGGCTTAAGTTATTGGTGATTGTACCAACAGCAAGGAGACAGAAATCAGGTGAAAGAGAGTGGCTACATTATTCCCCTTTGTGGCCCTTTCCCTTCCATTCCTCCTAGTGGATTTAAGCACATGCAATAAATTAGATATATTTCACAATTAGTCAGAGTGTACTGTTGCTTGTGAATGTTCAAATTTAGTTTCTAGAAGACAGTATTGAGATTAAATGAGCTCACACTGCAAACTGAAAATTATTTTCTGACGTAATTTTTCCAACTAACTTGTTCCCAGGGCACTTCCATAAAATAACTTGTGACACCTGTTCATGATATATTTCTTAATGGAAGCTAATTGCTTAGAAAAAATTTTGTGATGTATTCACATCTGTACTAATGAGTTTTTTTTGCCACCAGGCCATCTCCATTAGCATGCATCAATTGTTTTTATGTGCAACCTTGTTTGAGACTTTAAAAAGTACTCTGTTCAGTTAATTGTCTGTTACCATGTTGAAATATTTAGGCTGTAAGTGTGGTTTCCAAGATCTCTAAATAATATCTCAGCATTTTAATTGGAAAAAGCAATTTCTGAGATCTTGAATGGCGCATGCTTAATCCTTCAGCAAAGTAAAATCACTGTGTGGGGCTACATTTCTGAGCAGATAACGTTGAAGTATATTTGCTTTTTTTGTTCCATTACATTAGTTGCTAACATGATGGAAGTTAAATGTGTTTTCAGGCAATTGGAATTTGCAATTACAATATTTCATTGCATCATTGAAATGGAGGTTGGTTCATATGACTGTATTATCAGACTCATCAAGCCTGATTTGTCTATTTGATTGTGTAATCACACTGACGATCTAGACATTCCTACTAACAACTTTACTGGAACAGGGAAAATGAAAATAGAGGAAAAAAGCCTTAGAAACGATTTTTGAGAGTTATTCTATCTATTAAGCAATTGAGCAAACTCTTAGAGTCCCTGGTTATCTAAGATTGAAATGATCACTTTCAGAATCGTATTACTATATTAAAGGATTATGTAGAGTCCATAATTAAACATACTTCAGAATGTTTTTAACATCTTCAAGCCAAAATTGCTTTCTGATGTCAGACGTAACTCTTTGTCCATGTGTTTGACAAGTTTGGTCTTCTACAACCCATCTCTATTTGAAAGAAAAGCTTTATAATCTCCTTTGACCTTGCATTTCTACAAAATAATGGCTCAAATTCTTGGAGTATTGTCCATAATTGAGAGTTGCAACAATTGCTATTATCCTGGAATCTCCTATGCACACTTTTTCTAACATTTCAATCTCTTTCACCAGGCAGCACAGTGGCACATTGGTTGGCGCCAAGGTCCTGGGTTCATTTCCATCCTTGGGCATCTGCCTGTGTGGAGTATGCACATTCTCAGTGTGTCTGAGTGAGTTTCCTCCCACAGTCCAAAGATGGATTGCCTATGCTAAATTGCCCGCAATGTTCATGGATGTGCAGGCTAAGTGGATTAGCCAAGGGAAATGCAGGGTTACAGGGATAGGGTAGGCTCTTTGGGGATTCTGTGATGCACAGGTCCAGAAACCAACCATGAAAATATGTCAAGTTCAGGCACAACAGAGCCCTGTACCGTTTGAAGTGTTTTATACCAAGTCAGATCCATGTTTTTGAATGCCATGTCATTTCATGCTCTTACCCATATTACATTGGGTAATGTCAAAATAGAATAAGGTTTGAAAAATGTTCTTTTTACAGAAGAAGGGAAATGAGATGAAATTTGTACATCTGGTTTGGTACTGTTGGTGGCAGTTTAGTCCATGCAAGGACTGTTAATTCTGATGGATTAGATTATAATGTTTCCATATTTTTAAGTCTGTTTCAGTATTTTGATTGCTATTCAACTAATAGATAAATGGAAAATGGTACCTATGTTGTGCCACCTGGTCATCGCTCATGTCTCGCAGCTGTTGAAAAGGAAAGGCCAATTGATTAAATATTTTATTTAAATTGCAGCTTCCTACTCCTGGTTCCACTGCCAAAACTGTTTATGTTCATTATATGGCTAAGGTAAACAAGTTGTCTTTATATAACAATTCTTACATAGAAGGGCAAGGAAAAAGTGAAGATGCGACCATCTAACAGTAAAATAAAAAGGCAACACTAAAGAAACAGTGAAAAAGATGGGATTTTTAAAAGGCTCCTGAATCCAATGCACAAGGTAGTAAGACTCAGACACATTTTGGAGAGAATCACAGGGCAGTAGCACAATGACTGACAATGGAATGGTCATTAATCAATAATCCAAAGCAAATAGGACAATCATTTCATGAAAGGAAAATTGCTTGAGTGAGATGAGTAGAATGGCCTGAAGATAATGATCTTGAAGCAAGTTCACTGGAAAAAAGGAGACAGTGGAGCTTGGCAAGGACAGAGTTGTTGGTAAAAGTATACCATGTGACAGAGAATGGATGGGTAAGGGGTTTAAAATATCTAATGTTTTTGAGTGGAGGAAATAAGGCTTTTGAGAGAATTCATAAGGTTCTGATTTAAGCTGAAGTTGTGGAAAATGTACAGTTTTAAAGTCTGCATTCTTGATCTCAAATTAAATACACAGAAAAAAACTGATGGACTTTGGCACCAGATTCATCCTATATCTCTGCATTGAATGAAAATGTAATTGTCATAACTTTGTGTCTCTGCAGTGCTGGGGTAACATTTGTTTCTGTCCATGACTGCTTCTGGACACATGCTTTCACAGTAGATGTCATGAACAAGGTAACTATTTCCTTTACATTATTCGTGCTGTTCAAAAATGATCAGAAATGGGGAATTGTGTAAGAAAAATCACTTTGTAGCAATCATTTCACTGCATTATTTATTATGTATACTTTGTGAAAATGAATGCCATGAGTGTCTTCATTTTCGGCACTGGTTTTGCAATGCCATAAGTTTTCCCTCCAGGTCTTTCTACAAATATCTGAACTTTAATCATTAAACAGAACTTAAGATCTCATTTGCAGAATGCCTTGTTATAACAACACTTTCCCTTTCCCTTTCTCAAAAAGTGCATTGGATTAGGAGTTTTCGTTGTTTTTTTTTAAATGGAAAACGATGGCATGGGTAATATACTCAAAACACCCTAAGATTTGAAAATCCACATAACGTATATGGTGTGTCATTACCACACAACTGGCAGCAGTGATTATGTTTGAAAAATAGTATGTGGGGTGGAGTGGATTGAAAATTTTATATACCAAAATGTAACCTTCCTGCATATGGCCACTGATAAAATTCAACAAACATAAGAACATAAATGGGAGCAGAAATATGCCATTCAGGGTTACCCTGCCGTTCAACAAGGTCATGACTAATGTGCCCCAGACCTCAACCCTTTTGTGCCAGTTCGTCATAGCCCTTAACTCCTTGACATTTCAATAATCTACTTCCTCTCTCAGTACTTCCAGTGATCTAGCCTCCACAACTCTCTGGGGTTGAAGAAAAAATATTTTTTTTTTGGAGTAGATGGACCAACAGTTGCAAGCAGTATTATACTCCTAAGAAAATGTGTAAGTTTTTTTCTGGCCTTCCCACCAAACAAACAAATAATCTTGTACCATCAGCTGAATGGAAAATAATGACAAAAGTAATAAGAGACAAATAATTAATTTACAATCCTCTTTCAAGATTCCACTTATGGGTGTTCTAAAATAGTTTGCTTTTAAAATTATTGTTGGGGTTCCTTGATGAACATACTTAGTAGATCCTGATGAACATTTGTATCATCTGAAAGTCAGCTAGCAGATAACAGCAATAAATACCAACGGGAGGCCCACCAATAGTAAGTGTTAAAATTCCTTGACTGTCCTCTTCAAAACTCTGTCCATCCCTGCAGTTTTACTCATTTGAAATCCACCTTCAAGTAATCCTTCCACCATTTTTCCAATCTCCTTTCCTAATTCTCTCAATATAACTCATTAGTTTTCCTTTATCCCTTTTATCATCTATTTTTCTCTCATTCTGTAAAGTACCTTAGCCTGTTGTCCACAGACAACTGCTGTATAGATGCAAATTGATGTTACCCGTTAAATCAATGACCTAATGCCGTTATTACACAACTGCTTCTGTGTTGATCAGCGTCTAAAGCGCTGCCAATCAATGCAAAGCTTGTTGGTATCATAGCACTACTGTAACACTGTGCTTTTGGTAAGCCTTTTTATTTGTAAAATTTAAAGATTACATGATATTTTGTATGAATTCAATAAACTGAGTAATTTTTCCACCTAGCTATGAGACTTTTGAAAATATCTATCAAAATCTTGCTGCAAACTAGGGAAGTTTTCTCTTAGTGACATGATCAATGGAATGCATACACTGCATAGATGACTTAAGAGTAACCTTGTATGGTAATTCAAATTTAATGATTGACTTTTTCTATACTTCCAATCTTATGAAATTTGCTAAACAATCATTCTCCTTGTTATTGGAATTTCAGCATAAATTGAATCACAAAGTAAAATATTTGAGTGACATACAGCACGGCCAGTACTATGTCTGAATAATGAAATCAAAACAATTGAAACATATGAGATCTTTTCTCCTCTTATTTGAAAATACAGTTAAAGAGGAGAAATGTATTTCAACTAAAATGCAGCTCTATTACAATAAGTGTTTAAGTTATTGTTCACAAAGCCTTTTGGTTCTAATTGGACATCGTAGCTATCTTCGAAACTAATCTCAGTTAACCCGTGAGGCAATGCAATGATCTGTATATACTGTTAGTAAGCAGTGTACACTTGTGTTGCAGGTTTGCCGTGAGCAGTTTGTTGCCCTGCACAGCCAGCCTATTCTTCAAAATCTTTCCAAATTCCTGGTCAACAAATACCGCTACAACATTCCGTGAGTATTGAGCTATTTTCAGTCCACACAACATCATTACCTAGTCAAATGTATGACATGTAGCAGAGACAAGAAATAGAAGTGCTTTGATATGTCTGAACTTTTCTTTTTAATATACACAACAGTTTCAGCCAAACATTTGTCTTTTGCAGTGTTGATCGAAAAAGCAAAAAGCTTCAGGACTACCAAAGAATGATGGAGCTACTTTCTAAAGAACTGAAGACAGGTGCTGAACAAGCTGTTTTAGAAAAAAAGCAGCAAACTATGTCTGGCATTACATTAGTAGGACATATCTAGTCTAAGTCAAATTAGTTAATTTAGCTGTGTGCTCTTTAAATAAAGTACAATGGCTTTTAGAGTGCTTTCTTAGAAGGAACAGTATGTCCTGAAGGAGAGAGCAATAATGATGAGTTCTGAGGCAGCTGGATGAAAAAGTAATAGCTGCAAATTAATCACAGTAATTTCTTGATTGGAATTGACTATAATCTTTCTTCACTTTATTTAACCAGGGAAGCCATTTCTTGATGTGATTTGTTTGTTCTAAATATTTTTTGCCGGTTATTTCATTACTCAACGTCCTTTTCTGTAGCCAATGATATCAGTCTTTGGTGCATTGTCCCGGAATTTGTTATTTTTGTTAACTGTCTTGGATATTTTGGCTGTATGCAGTCTTTCATGGGAGTTAGCACACCCAAATCCAAAACTTTTCTGATGAAGGGTCTAGGCCCGAAACGTCAGCCTTTCTGCTGCTATGATGCTGCTTGGCCTGCTGTGTTCATCCAGCCCTGCACCTTGTTGTCTCTCATTTAATACATGTGTTATCTTCCAGCAGGGGTCGCTGTAGCCATAGCCACTTTTTCTGCTCCTGAAACTGTGGGCAGCTGACCAGGGTGTGACACCTACCATTATCTGTGATAAGATCTGTTGGCTTAATACCAGATGTGAATCTTGCTGGATCTACTGCCTTGAAATAAGGATTCATAGAATAGGGATATGGTGTCGTGGTAAAATCACTGGGCTCGTAAACTAGTGACCCAGGTTAATGATCTGAGGACGTGGATTCTAGTGCCATCACAGCAGCTGGCGGAATTTAATTTTAAATTAATAAATCTGGAACTGAAAGTTACTTCCATTAATGATGCCATGAAGCTATTGCGATTATCAAAATTTTTCCCAGGGTGGAAATGACTAACACGAGGGGACGTAATTTTAAGGTGATTGGAGGAAGGTATAGGGGAGATGTCTGAGGTAGGTTCTTTACACAGAGTGCACTGCCAGCAGTGATGGTAGAGTCAGATACATTAGAGACATTTAAGCGACTCTTGGATAGGCACATGGATGATAGTAAAATGAAGGGTATGCAGGTTAGTTTTGATCTTAGAGTAGGATAATAGGTTGGCACGACATCGTTGCCCGAAGGGCCTGTACTGTGCTGTTCTAGGTTCTAAAAAGACCCATCTAGTAAGACCTACAAGTGGCTCCATACCTACAACAATGTGATTGACGCTGTGACCTTTGAAATGGTGTAGCAAGCCATTTGATTCAGGGACAGCAACCTTCAATGTCTTTTCTAAATTTATGGCATGTGAGCAAAGTGTGAGTAATTTGTATTAATAAGTTGAAGACGTAGTTTGCCTAACTATTTTTGGGAAGTAGAATGGATAGGAAGAGGAAAAATCTTTTGTGACCTGGTGTAATCTGCAGTACGTTAATTGTAGTGAATTTAATTCCTCCCCTTTGTGCCCTATCATTTAGATAAGTGAAGTAATATTGAACTTTTGCCCATGATAAACCTGATTTGTACGGTGCATGTTCTTCACTCACTCTCCGTAACTGCCATATCACAGCAGAGGAATATCTAGCCTAGTCAAGATTCTGAAATTCCAGATAAGGAAATGTACCTTGGCTTGGAAAATCAAAATTTGTGAAGTAATTCTCAATGTGTCAACAGTGACAGACGATATCATGCGTGCAACAGTTGTTTTCCATGTAATCTGAAAGTTGAGGTCTTTTAATAATTTTGGATTTACATTGGTTATGCTTCTGAAACAGTAGTACATTTACTTGAAGGTGTAACTGCACTCATTGCACAATTCCGGAAATTAAGGAAAAGTCTTTGTTGGGTGATGACCACTTCAAATACTAATTAGTTCAGTAAAGTGATCTTTCATGCCTCAGTGAATTCATTCATTTGTTAATCATTCCTCATTCATCACTCAGCTTATTCAATGCAAAAGCACAGTTGAACTGTTAAAAAGTTTGGAATGCCTTTTCAAACATTTTGCATTTCAAACATTCTAACATTTTCAAATGTTTTGTTTTTGCTTAATAAATATGGATTAATTAAGATTTAACAGACAATATGAAACACACAAATTGTCCTCTTCCACCGAGAACTTGACTTGATGTCAGTCAGTTCTTTCTTTCTGATTCACTTGTTTATGCAAGACTGATTATGTTTTTATATCCTTTCAGGTGAATTTGATCTAGAGAAGGTTAAAGAATCCACTTATTTCTTCAGCTGAAGATATCAGAATGATGGGATGATCATCTACAAGTATCTGCCCTTTAAAATACAGAAAAGTCCTCTAACCAAAAGCAAAGTACTGCAAATACTGGAGATCTGAAATAAGAACAATGTGCTGCAGAAAACCAGCAAGTTTGGCAGCATCTGGGGAGAGAGAACAAGTGTTATATTTCTAGTCCTCTTCAGATATCTTTCCGTTGGTTCATTGGATACATGAAAGGCCTAAGCTGGGAAAGGAATTTGTTGTTTCAGTGAAATAGCTGAAGAGTTTTTTTTGTACAATTGGCTTATGTAAATCTTTCCCATTTACGATAGATTCAATGAAAACTTGAATTATCACCATTGATAAAATAATACCACCTGGAGGAATTAAGTGAAATCTCATGCCTGATAAGTATATGGTGGAGAAAGCCAAAAAAAATGTTTTTGCACAATTCCTATTTCAGCTATTTGTCATCCTTACATTGGGGTTTACAGAAACCCAGTTCTGCAAATGTTTGTTCTTAAGGGCACAGGACACATCTCCGTGCAGGATGATAAGTGAAAAATGAGGTCATAGCATCATGAATTGATGAATTGCAGCCTCACTTATATCCCCATTGTTGCTTCCCACTAAATGCAAATCCCATCTCAATTTTTAAATTTGAGAAATTTCAGTATAAACATTTCCAAGAAGTAAAATGTTTCAAATTAATTTTCAATCCAATTTTTGCATTTTTTTTGGGCCAATTTTAACACATGCCAGTTACTAAGAACTTCAGTAACATTGTATTTTGCTAACCTAATGAATAAAAAGTGATAGAATCCGTAAATGAAAGGAATACTCTACAACAGATAAATGGGAATTGGGAGGGAGTTGTATCCCACTTTCTAGCTTGCTGTCTCTCCCTATTTAAGGAAAACTGTCCTTTGTTTTGAAACCTCCTTGCACTAGTGTCTTATGATATGTTGATGAAAATCCCAGGATTTATCTTGGTTGAAGAATACTACTGCAGCTTTCATTGCTTTGTAAATTTAGTAAAAAGGGATTGTGACCCCCCTGCCAATGTCTCTGAGGGGAATCATTGAATTTCGTATTACTTGTTAGTGAACAATTCACCTTGTTAAACTGCATCGGGTTTCTGATTACAGAAAATTTGATATGATTGTATTTTTTTATAATAAATTATTGGAACTGAAAAAATGGCTGCTAACTACTCTGTACTATTTGGTTAACATTCTGCGGGTGTTTACACTGGTAAAAAGGTTTATATCCACATGACATTGCTGGTTGTTGATGGAAAAAACTAATATTTTACCAGTTCATTTAAGAAATTATTCAGATTTGAGCGTTTCCAAATACCTTTGTCCTTAGTGACTTTTACAGTAAGTAGATTAAGTGTATAAATGGAGACTTATGTTGAGTTTGAATAGATCAGGGTGTGATTTCAGCAATTGTATCAGATATCCATTATGTTGTCTATTACCTTGATTGATAGAAAACATTACATTATTATACCTCTTTATGTAGGTTAAAATGCTGTCCTCTGTTTTTTGATGCAAATAAATGGTGTATGGAATTAGAAACACTGGCAAAATCCTAAATAGCTCAACAGTTTAAGGGAATTAGTACATAAGGGGGTTTGTAAACAATTTCCAGAAAGTTGCCATTTTTTGCAATCTCTTGCCAGGGAATAAGCCCTTTGAATAAATTAACTATCTTATTCCTTGACACAGTGTAGCCAGGCTTGAAATGTACTTAGAGTCATCGAGTTGTACACAACAACAACAGACCCTTTGGTCCAACTTGTCTGTGCCAACCAGATATCCTAAATTAATCTAGTCCCATTTGCTAGCATTTGGCCCATATCCCTCTAAGCCCTTCCTATTCATGTACCCATCCTTTTAAATGTTGTAATTGTACCAGCCTCCACCACTTTGTCTGGCAATTCATTCCATACACCCTCTCAAAATTTACCCCGTCAGAATTTCCTTCCACCATCAGTAAGACACATACAAGAAGAGACTAGTAGCATAATATTTAATTTGTATGATGCATGACCAATTTCCAACAGGAATGGCAGTTAGTGCAGTCCTATTAGTAGATTTTAGCTGAGCATCTCAAGTGAGTAGTTTAGCAATTAATTGGAAATGTGTGTATTCTGAGTCTTTGTTTTCACAAGCTCTTGATTAACCTTGCAGTTAAATCTTCAATTGCCAGTGACTCTCTGCAGCTCCTTTTAGCCTTACCTAAAATAGGTGATGTGAAGCAGCAAATTCAGAATCCAACCCAGCTTTTCACTATACTTAGGTACATGTAACAATAAATCAAATCAGTTGTAAGTTTGCATTTTCGTTTACATTTGAAACATTGCATAGTATTTACAGCATTTGAAAAAGACTCTTCAACAATGGCTCAACGCCAGAACTTGTATTCCTGCCACCCATTTAACCCATCAACATATCCTTGTGAACCTTTCTCACTATGTGCTCATCTAGTTTCCTGTTGAATGCATGTAGTCAGATGGGAAGAAACAGCCAGAGTGCTAAAGGGGAGGAATCTTGGATAGGATAATGAGGCCAGTTGGATTTTCTCTTATTCTTCACCCCAGCCCTGCCCAATTGAGGAAGGATAACTGAGGGAATTTTCCTGTCTATCTTTCTAACCAAAACCAATTTTTAATGCATTTTGTTCTGTCAACTTAAATTTACATTACAATGATGTAACATTTTTTCTCTCTGACAGGACCAAACATCATAGTCATTTCTACATTAACATTAAAGAGAATAAATGTTGAATATGTACTTGATGCCACCTGAACCATTGGAATCCCTCTAAATTTTGTGTTCTCATTAAGGAAGTGATAAAACTGCATCCAAAGTGAAAGCTGATACTCTCAGTCCTTTCCTAAATTCGAATCACCAAAGTTACATTGTACAGTTTGTATTGGTGCAAAGCTGAAACTGCATTGACCGTGTAGAAAACTTTCCTAGGGAGTTTTCTTTATACTGAATCAGGAGACTCAAGTATGCAGAGCCATGCCTTCAATTCACCTCCCTACCTTCCATATTGTGATTCAGCACAAGCTGTGGACCTTCATTGCTGAAGTATACCACAGCAAATAAGTTTGATGTTGGAGCAATCTCTCCTGTCAGGAAGATGCCCACAGTCAATCTGTTTGGTTTTCCATATTAGTCCATGGTTTGTTTAGTAAACCAGGACCTCCAGAGTTCTGACATTAACTGGAAGATCAGTCATCTGGTTTTTATTGGTTGTTGTTCCCAGTAACAGTTCAGAGCAGTTTTTGGCTACTGAACACCATGGTGTGAACAGTAATGACTGAAATGTTTTCAAAGATATACCATTGGATGGTATTTGAACCCCACTGTTCTATCATTTCTATCAGTAAATTGATCTGAAATTTTGCTTTTAGTTTAACCCAGGGGGAATGTTACAGCTTCCAACAGGTCGACTCTGTCACTAAGTGAGAGATTTTCTCCAGAAACACATTGCAATTCATGCCAAGTCAAATGTAAACTATAGTTCTGAATATTTTTAAATAACTGCATAACCTCTTGTTTACTTTTCAGCAGTGGATGCCGCTTTGAGGTGACTTTCATCAAAGCTGTGTGCTGGCTTTATTTTAATTGTACTTATCCTTCAAGGAACTGAGGATGCAGCACGTGACTTCTATTTTATAAATGAATACTGCAATTTTTTTTAGCTTTTCCAGTCAAACCATTTATGAACTTTGGGATTTATTTTGCCATGTGGTGGATGTAGTCTGTACATCTTGCAATGTTACATTAATGAATATTTATTTCCTTTTCCAAAAAATATCTAATCAGAACTGCTCCCCCACTTTAATTCTTGCTGATTTTCAATGTACTCTTTACTTTGATTTTTGTTTGCCTGCACAGAAACTGTAACACAGAAGCAACTTTTTTTCTCTAAATATTAAATGTTGTCAACATATCGCTGTTAGCATGTCACCGACCCCCCACCCTGAAAGTTGTCACTATTTATCAAAAAGCACCAAAAGAGAACCCACCACCACCACCATTGTGTTGAAATATGTGGTCTGTTCCACTTCATTAACTCACTCCATTTGGGTTATTTTTCACAACGATAATTTATGCATGGCTTTTAAATCAACCTCCCCTTTTTGGGTACATTTCTCAACAATTCAGTGGTTGATATATGCCATTATATATGGCCTAAAACAAAGGGTGTATAGGGTCTCTAGAACTGAAAAGGGTTAGGACTATTGATCGCAGAGGGTAAATGGCAATGGGATTTAACTTGGTCCAAAATATCTATCTTCTATTTGCCTGCAGCAGACTGTAGAGGTTATGAAGCCAAGAGCACATTGGAAAGGAAGAATTAATGTGTGGTCAGAAATTGGGAGAGAGATTAAGACTAGGCAAGAGTTGAAGGTAATAGTCTGATGATGGTGTCAGCTTATTTTAAAAAGGGGGAAATAAAACAATTATACAACATTTGTCAAAAAAAAAACAGGCCATAGCTACCACACAACACATGAAACCATTTGTGAAATTTGGGATTTTTGTGCTTGAAAAAAAACAAATACTTTTTTTGTTTCCTATGACAAAACACTACTGACAAATTAATTCAGCCATGTAATACATTCTCATCAATTTCTTGAAGGGCATGTGTAATTAGAACAAAGTTAGCAGGGAGCCTTGATGAAAGTGACATCAGTGTCATCCCCTGCTGCAATTTTGACAGTGTGTGGTTAGTTAAAAATCTTTTGAATAAAATTAGAGAATGTATTACATGTGCCGGAAAATAGTTTTGCATTTAAAAGCATTCAGGGCTAAAATGGGGTGGTAGTGGTAGTATAGACTGGAAATTCAGAGATCTGAAATAAAAAGCAAATTTAATGGTGACCATAAAATGATTGTTGTAAAAACCCATCTGGTTCGCTAATGTAATTTAGAGAAGGAGGTCTACCACCCATACATGGTCTGACCTGCATCTGATTCCAAAACCACAGCAATGATTATTAAATGCTTTTTGAAATGGTCTAGCAAGGCCCTTGGCCTTGTTTAAAATTTGGAGAAGGACTGAAACCAGATAGATTGTCTGCCATTGACCTATGCTCTGGAAGTAACACTAACAAATCAAGCCCTGCTGACCATGCAAAGCCCTCCTCATTAACACCTTGGGACAGGAGAAGAGTGATGGATCTGGTACCGAAATTGGGAAAGCTGTCCCAGAGACTAGTCCAGTCACAATTGTACAATTAAGGTAGGGACCTGGGTGCTGTTGTAGATCAGAGAGACCTAGGGCTTCAGGTACATAATTTTTTGAAATTTGTGTCACAGGTAGACAGGATGGTTAAGAGGGTGTTTTCCACATTTGCCTTCATTGCTTCAGACTTTTGAGTGTAGATGTTGGGATGTCGTTTGAGGTTGAATAGGATGTTAGAGGCTTCTTTAGGAGTACTGTGTCCCTGCCAAGTACTGGTCACCCTGTTGTAGGAAGGATATTATTAAACTGGAGAGAGTTCAGAAAATATTTACCAGGGTGTTGCTGGGAATGGAAGGTTTGAGATATTACAATGGATTGTAAAGGCTGTGACTTTTTTCACTGGAGCATAGGAGGTTGAGGAGTGACCTTGGGTTTATAAAATCATGAGGGTCACAGATAAGGGTCTTTTCCCTGGGGTGGGGAATTTCAAAACTAGGGGGTATATTTTAAGGTGAGAGGAGAAAGATTTAGAAAGGACATGAGGGGTAACTTTTTTACTCAGAGAATGGTTTGTGTTAATGGTTTCTGCCAGAGAAAGTGGTAGATACAGGTATAGTTACAATGTTTGAAAGATACTTGGATAAGTTCACGAATAAGAAAGGTTTGGAGGAATATGAACCAAACATCGACAGGTGGGACTAGTTTAGTTTGAGAACATGGTCAGCGTGGACTGGGTGGATTGAAGGGTCTGACTCCATACTGTATGACTCTATGACAGCCTGATGTAGACATACAGAATCATAGCTAGACCCCACCATCACCATTCCTGGGTATGACTTTTCCCACCTGTAGGACAGACCCACCAGAGGTGGCAGTGCTGTGGCACACAGTCAGAAAGGAGTTTTTGAGGGTGGGGACCCCATAAAGTCTCATAGCATTAGGTCAAACTGGACAAGGAAACCTGCTGCTGATTACCATCTACTGCACAA